GTGACAAGGAAACCATCGGCACCTGTGTTGAAGACTTACACCAATTAATAAACCAAAGCTAACTCCAATTGCCTATGTACATCAAATGGGGACAAATGAATCACAGCTAAGGCTTTGTTGGCATGCGCAAAAAAAATTTGTCCGTAGGATTATTACTTGCTACATTCCTTCAAAGCGACTCTTCTTATGTAGTGAAAGATGTCGAAGTTATATGATTGCTTTAACATGAGATGAGAATTTTAATCTTCCTCAATTGTTAAGAAAAGTGGCTTATAAAAAACGATTTCCTGTTGCCCTCTTCTGTAGGAAACAATCCTCCGCCAACCACATATTGTCCAGCGACTTCTGGGCTACCTAACATTGGACGAGTGGTTGAAGTTTGTCAGTGCCTTCCCTAGGTGGAACTACAGCTTCCCTCACGAAATCCTTCTTGCTGAAAACGGGTCTCCACTTCTCTTCTTCCTCCTACGTCGCCGTCTTACTAAACACATACATACTTTGCGTCTCATCAGCCCTGGACCCATCGCCCAGGGCGGTGCAGTAGGGAGCATTCATAAGTGCATTCTCTCCAACCCTTTCGCTTTCGTTTGTTTGGAGCGCCTCGACCTCAGCGTCCAGATGCAGCCAATCGACCGCCTGCTGGCGATTTTCGCGGCTCCTGCCTTCCCCCATCTCCGCTATCTCTCCGTTCGGCCCACGGAACCAGACTATGGGCAGAATTCTGTCTGCGTGTCGCCGCTTTCTGTCTTTGCACCACCACAACTCGAAGTGATGAAATGTCACCTAATAGGCTTTCTGTCCGATGATAAGGAAGAGTACATCCCAGCTCTGTTGCAAGTCATGCAGAACGTTGTTAGTTTGACAGTTTGTGAGCGAATGATCGGCGTAACCCCATGGTCACAGTACTTACGTCGAGTCGGCCCCTTTTCCAACCTCGAAATAATTCAAATTCACGCTACGAGTGATCTTCTTAAAGCACTAAACGAGATGCTCTTTAGCGATAAGTGGATTTTATTCCCCAAACTGAAGTCTGTCAAAATAAGCACTGTCTCGAGGTTAAAAACATCCACTTTATTCAAAAACGGCTTCTTTCGTCCTTTAGAAATTGACTTTTCGAGTTTTGGTCAGTCAATAGAGGTCGCTTCCACACTTCCAACCAACGAAGCCATCCAAGTTGGACGAAGGGCTCTTACCGGAAGAGGTCTGATCATGTTAGAACTCATCTTTCTTCCAGATACCGTTAATCTCTCCAGCTCAACAACTTTAGCGGTTTTAAATCAGTTTGGCCACATGGTGGAAACTCTGATTGTTACCGTCCAACACACTGTCGTTCCTGAAAGTTCTGTGGAATACCTCGCATTTCTGAAAAGATTTAAAACACTATGTCATCTCTACCTATTTCCCATCATAAAGCTCACTTCCAGTTCATTAAAAATGATTGAGCTTCCTGTCGAATTGATAGATTCTCGAGATGTAGACAGTCAGTTTGAATCTCTCCTAGCCTACCACAGAGGGTACTTCCCATCAGTTAAGTCTGTCTCCATTACCTCTCCTCCTACCTTTCCCTTTTGTAACCGTTCCCAGTGGCACTCATGTCATTGTCTCGACAATATTCCACATACTCAGCCCCTTAAGAACGTTTGTGGCCTCTTCCTTAAACTTGAAGAGCTCTTTCTCACTTCGGATAGTCATCTTGATCCAGGAGACCTTCAAGAGGCTGTGGAAATGTGTCCAGAACTAAAACGCCTCTACATCAACAGATGGCCTATTTCTGTTGAAGCCTACGCAATGGCGACTCAAGAAATTCTCTCCGCTCGGTCCTTGGAGGTATTGTGTCTGCTTGTGGATTCCCTTCGAATTCGTAGCGGATCCTGCGAGAGCCTGCTATATCCACGCTCATGGACGTTGAAGTACCTGTACATTGACTGCATCTACCAACCATCCCTAAGTAAGGAGGAGCTGAGTAGGTTAGCCAAACGAATTCCCAATGCAAGATGGATTACAATCGCAAACAGGGAGACCTCCCGTTGTTTGGAGTTTCGCCGAAGCAGGACTGCGGAAACTATCTCTGAGATGCGGTTGGACTCGGGACGTTGGGGGAAGGAGCCGAGGGCTTTTGCACCGGAACTATACGATGTAGTGTGGAAAGGGGAAGAGAAGATGAAGTATTTTATAGCAGAGTGGTGCCATGCTTGCAAGGCCTAGATCGCCTTATAAATGCTCAAGGGCTCATCCACTCACAATTAATCTGTATCTTCTTGATCTCAGGGAAAGCGCTGTCTCCTGCGTCCTACATGGCCATTGTCTCAGTATCGGATTGTCACAACTTTTGCCGACAAAGCGAGACACTAAATCAATATTGCAAACAATGTTGGCGCATTACCTATGACACCTAATATTCTATTTTGAACCCCAGTGAACATTGTCTTTTCCCATTTGCTAGCCTCGAATTCAGGTAAATAAAGTTAAGGCTTGGTTGCATCCTAATTGGTGGCATAGTGGTGTCAAAGCTAAAAGGCTTTATTTTCTTCCTATTTACCCATTTAACCGAACTTTCAAGAACTTCAAGAATCCTGAAACCTTTCCCTAATTTATTAGCACTTTGAAATAGCCAGGAAACCGCCGGAGCGTCAGAAGGGTCATTGGGTGACAAGACATTGTACGGAGTTATAAGAATATACTGATGTCAATTTTCAATGAGATCGTTGCAAAACATCTACACTGGTTTACCATGTTGTCAATGAGAAGGTCCTCGGGGAGGAATGCGCCTATCTTCACTGAGTGAACGGTAGAGTTCAAAGGCGGAATTGTCGTTTCTCACTGCAGATGCACCATTTGTCACACCCTTGTGTCACGTGTCCTGTGGGCTTCCAGTCTTGGTGGGAGAGACGAGGGAGAGGCATAATTAGCATCATTTAGATTTATGGCCCATCATTCTCTTTTTATCATTCTCGTTATCACTCCCGTTGCTGTCTTGCAGTTTGCAGTTATTTTTCAATTTCCATCGCGTTTACTATTATTAAAAGGTATTAACGCCACCCTCCTTTCACATTTTTGCTGACAGCAGCACCATCATTTGCTAGGAGGAGTAGTTCCTTTATAACTTTGATATATATGGACTAGTGAAGATGTTACCCACACTACTTTGTTGGGGCAGTTGGAGAGGGGGAGTTCTGCAAGTCCAAAGACGACCAGCTGCATCATGGAGTGGAGCACAATAGAGGGAACGCGTTACGGAAACCAGACAAACATTTATCACTACCTAACGAACTATGCCTCAACCACTTAAAAAGTGCCAAGCCGCCTCGAGGGAGGTGAACAATTTTTTAAGATCACTTTACAAGTTATCACAATAGGGTTAATACGGAGCCGTGAATCATACGTGGTGGCAAGTCTTCAAGCGACACTAGGAAAATTCAAATCAAACAGCACGTTGATAACAGTTCAGCACTGAATGCAAAATTCCTGCTGTTGATGGTTACCTTCAAAATTGAGAGGATTCCACAACCATGATGTAGGCGCTGGAGTGTTGATTACTTCTTTTTTTGCTCTATTTTGAATGGAAACGACTTTCTTCATGTTGTTGAAGTTTTGGCATGGTGTGGAGACGTCTCGGTTCTTTTAAAAGATATTTTAAAGGGTTTATAGATAAAAGTTCACATTGCATGAGTACTTTTTTGGTCTTAAGCTTTAGTTGAGGCATAAAATCCTAATTAATACACCTAATCATATCATTGGTGCGAAGGAGGAAAAAGTAATTTAGGTCCAGTTGTGTGTTTGCCTAAAAGCTTGCGAGTCGAATTGAGATTAGCATGCCTGTGTGTCGCATATCGGCAATGAAAGTTTAGAGTTCTCGCAAAGTTTGCTAAAATCTCCGGTATTTAGATAATCATGACGACTTCATACCTTGATAAATATTTTGGCATTCTCACACTATGGACTTTTTCGTTTGCCCTCCACTGCATCCGACACTTTGACCTTCCAAATGGAGGTTATGCAAACAGGACCGTTGTGCAAATATAGCGAGATTTGGTTTGAAGGCTGAAAAGACCTGTCAAGTCGCTTGGTGTCTGAGAATCGGATTAAAATACACCAAAGAATGCAATCATCATGGCAATACGGAAGGTGCTTCAAGATGAGCTTGTCAAAATCTGTAACCGCGACGAGCGAACAATTTGAGAGCTCCGTGTAGACAGACCCAGTTCAAGGGGAAAACGCCAGCAGTTGCCGATGTGCTTTAACGCCTACCAGTTTAATCGCGCATCTTAATTTGTCATGACCTGCTCAACTTTTCTGAAATGGGCTTTCATATCCGTGAGCTAAAACTCGAAACTGTGAAGCAGCGCATTTATTTCAAAGTCAGTCGGTTGAGGAGGACATTTTATCCATTTAACAAAAGACAAAGCTTTAAGCCCATCGTGCAAAGTATGGCAGAAGATAGCACTCCAACTCGGTGCATTCTCCTGACAATGGCAGTAAAAATAGACACTTAAATGATCATTGTGGTGTGTAAATCAACTTTTGACTTGGAAGTGTTAATGAAGTAGGTGGGGAAGTTGAGAGATGGAAGGGAGGCTTCAGGCCAACGAAATTTCCAAAATCTCAATTTCTCGTCAACTGGCAATGGAATAAAATATTTATGAAAGCTTCCTTTTCTCAATGTTAACTTGAGAGTTATTGCTTGAAACTTACCCGGTCAAATTTTAAGGTCTTTACTATTCTCACTGTCCTCTCCATCTTAATGAGGGTGACAATCCTTGCAAATAAATGTCAAGCCTGCCGCTTGGAAGTGGTGCTTCCTTTCCTTGCCCATCAGCATGCATCCTCTGCGACATGTTAGACTGACGACATGCACCTCATTTGTCAGGTCTTTAGATCCCCCTTTTTATCAAATATATTGCTTTAAAAAAACGTCAACAATTGGAAGAATTAGTGAGGACATTCATTTAATTAATCGGATGTAGCTAACATTGAGCGTAGGAATACATCTTTTTACCCCTTAAGGCGTTGTCATTCTTCCAGACTTTGTACAAGAACTGAGGGAAGGAGGCTGTTCACTTGCCCTTTAGGAGCAACATGTCTATTAGGAAAATTCGAAGTTAGTAATGTTATCACGAGGATGGGATCTGCAGGTCCATTTGCCCTTGCCTATCGCCTAAACAGCCTTGATGGAAGGAGGTCGACAGCAGGAACACACAGCATTAAGGCATGCAAGTAGCGTTTAAACTGGATTAAAATATTTACTTGAGTGTTAAGTGCTTCCTTTTATCAATGCAACGAGTTGTTGGAGTCGGTGTTTAAAGGTGCCTGCAGGACTAGCAGCCCATGAAGACGACCAAGAGCACTGGGTGCGGTTAAAGCATGGCGAAGACCGTGACATTTGAGTCAGTCACGATTGTGCGAAACCTCCTTCCACCAAATGACTTCATTCCCATCCTCAAAAATATGCAAGCACTTTTACCTTTTCCTCCTTGCAGAAATATTTTAAAAGAGCTGGAAGACATGTGCTATTGTAATATTCCTCTTCGAGTTTGAATCCGTTGATTAAGACCACGTTAGAAGAAAGTTCCGTTTGAAGTGCATAAATCTACCGTTGCCTTGGGCATGACCGCTGCAAATGCGCCTGGTAGGCCTGGACAGTAGTCTGCAAGCGCCCATAAGTGCTGCATGAAGTTATTGAAGGAGGCATTTTCCAACATCAAAAGAGAGAACAACGCAACCATTCGGCTTGTTATATTAAATTGTTTCAATTTTTTGGTCCAAATGTCCAAAAGATTCTTTCCTCTTCACGATTTTACCCCGTAAGGCTTACGAGATGCGGCCTCTACGACCACTGCTAGCAAGTGACTGTGGTTATATGGAATAACTTGGCATACCATTTGCAATACCATCGCGTAGATGATCGCAACCAGTTGGGGGACCCGCGTTCCCAAAGCAGATGAGGTGCAACCAAAAGAGCTTTGTGTAAGCCGCTTAGAAGGGGGAGAAATCATGCATTTGCTGTAAAATGCCATCCGTTAATTGTGATTAGAATTACAACTTTAGCAGTTTGGCCATCTTCCTCATTTCCATTCTTTCACCATCTCAAGGGGGAAGGAACTCTTAAAGGCGCACAGGGTAATTAGGCTGACGCCTTGTTAACCAATGGCATTTGCGGTCTTTGGTTAGATTCATTCATATGACGACATCTCCTAGATTTACTGTTCTCAACGATCATATTTTTTAGCAAACAAGCAAACTCTGGATTTTGACTTTACCTTCCAGTAGCCTCTTGACAGTTCAGTCGGTTCAGTAGACCTCAACAGGCCTCCCAAGCGCACTGATATTGACGAAACGCAATTCCTTTAAATGGGTTGACTTCTACCTTTGCTCGTAGGCGATCTACCACTTCACTTGCAGGCGCGAGATGGGTCAGTTGCGGTTTAAGGGGAAACTTTAGCAATTCCTACCTAAAAGCAGAAACAACAGCAGCAGTCTTTTCCTTTTTTAACCTGTGGCAGTGATTAATGAGGCATTTTCCATGTCAAAATTCCATTTGAGTTCCTTGACTTGTCCAGTGGCATGTCAGCTAAAACACAAGTAGTCACTTCAAACTGACAGGAAGTCAGCTAAGATTTTGGAGTATTTTTTCCATTTTGACGCAAGCATTAGCTCATTCAGCGCAAAAAATGCATTTGCAGCAGATGGGAAGGATTTTTTTCTTACACAATTGTGATAAAGCTTTTAAAATGTTGTGCTCTGATCACACCCAACATACTTGCTTCCAATGTCACTTGTGTGTTTACTGTATCGTACAAATCCTATTCACACATTTGGACCGATGCAAGTAGGAAATTGTCTGATTTATTTTGCGATACCAGAATGGAGCATTTGAGTCATTGTTTAAGTGATCAAGATGGAGAAACCCCAACTGCTACGAAACCATGACAAGACGAGACCGTTTCGATGACAACCACTCATTAATCACTGATTATCCTGACAATGCATGTCGCTAGCCTCAGCACTGTAGTAGGTCAACATCTCCGTCTCAAGATCGGTGGACTGGGAGGATTGTGCTGATGTCATGCGTTTGCACGTTCTAGGTGAAACGCATAGTTCATACCTTTGGTTGTAACTTTATCATCATGCATTTTTGTGGACTTTTTCGGGAAGAAAATTAAGTGGTGGAAAAGCGTGTGTGTATGTAATAAGGAAACGCACGAGAT